CTTGGTCCCTAGTTAATGGGAGGTCTGACTCAATTCCTTGGACTCTCGAGTTCTTCTTGAGGACTCAGCTGGTCTTTCTTTGAACTCCAGCTCATGATGGCTATTCCATGGTGAATGTACTCACTAAACTGCTAAACAATTATTTTTAAGGGACAAATGCAAATTGACAGACCTTTAGATTTTCAAAATGTTTTAAAATAAAATTGCATAACACTCAACAGTATAGGTTCTGATGAACAACGTTTGGATGCCATAGCAATAACTAAAGCGGGGTAAAGTGACTGGGGCTTTCCTATAGAGTACTACAATTTAGAGAGTTCAATTTTCTTTTTGAAAGTAATAAAAATTGTGTAATTTGAAAATTGTTTACATATGCATGTTATCACATATATGTGTTTACTATTAGAGAAATAATTGATATTAGCATTTAATTAGTAGAAATAGTAATTGAAAATAGGCTTCCCTGCACTCATGCCCATAGTGCCTTTTATTTCTAAGGTACTTCTGAAAGTCCTAGTTGCTGTTATGGACATATGGGCAAAGGAGTCGGGGATGGAAGAGAGAGGGCACAGCTATCTGCTAGTTTCTATGGGAGGCTAGCCCCATTTGAAGAGCATTTGGTGCCCTCTAAATCCTTGTAGGGTTGACAAGAAGCAGTTATGTCATTCAGTGCAGGGACACTGAGAAGTTACAAGATGTCCCTGGGTATCAGTCCCTGGTCCCTGTGGACACTGATGTTAGCTCACACCACTAAATGGCACCGTGTATGTGTGTATGGTGAGGAAGAGGGTAGGTGGTCAGGAAAGGAAAGAATCTTGAGTTGATAAGGACTTTTCTGTACTCTTAGACTCATGGGTCATCTCATCCACTCCTCACAACAGTCTTGCAAGTTTGCTGGGGGTACTCTTCACAGATGGGAAAAGGAGGCTCAGACATACATCTAATGTCACAACAAAAAGTGGTGGGTTGTACCAAAGGCTTATTAGTTGGTTGCTGGCATAGTTTGAGAACATTCCCTTGTGACAGTGTGTTTTGTGGCATGCAGTGTGTGCAGAAAAGGGGGACTGTGACTACATAAGGTTGTGCAGTGTTACATTAGGGTGTGTGCAGAAAAGGGGGACTGTGACTACATAAGGTTGTGCAGTGTTACATTAGGCACCTTTATTGCAGAACTTTTCAGAGCCTTTAAAATACTCATGTGCATTGTGAAGCTTTGAAGAGGGACATAAAATGTGTTGTGGCCCATATTCCTCTCCCAGCCTCAGGATGGCCTCTAGAAAGTGGCATGTAATACCCAACTGTTTGTGGAGCTTCACTGGTGGGTGAGGTTGCTTTCCATGGTGATGCCACAGATGAGCTGTTGTGAACACGGTAGGGGCTTCCATGTGCCGTTCAGTGGTGTAACACGGTGCTTGGAGCTAGAAATGGAAAGCATGGTTACCTGTGGAGACTCTCCCACTCGTCATCAGGACAGAAACTGCTCTTGAAAGAACCAGTCGTCCTTCTTTGATGTTACTCTTCTTTGGAACTTAGTCCCAGGCCTTCTGCTATCCTGACTCTGTGTGCATTTTTTGCACATTGAATGAGCGAGTTGGGGAAATCCTTAGGTGCAAGTGACAGAACACCTAACTAATTGAGCTCCACAGATTCTGAAATCTGGGGACTGGCCGTCGCAGGACCTGGTAGCAGCCTAATGATACCAGGAGGCACTTTAACCTCTTTCTTTTCTTTTCTGAACCATGTTGGCCATTTATCCTCAGGCCGTTTGACTGCACAATGGCTGTCACAGCTTTAGGCATCACAAACACAATTGAAGACAGAAATAGGTGTTTGGGTAGGTTTGGTCTTCTCTCAGATGGCTCTGTCCATTTTTTAATCCCCAAAGGAAAATATTTCCTAATGACCCTCTTTTGTCTCTTTAGTTGGAATATGGTTATGTGACCACCCCTAACTGTAGGGGAGGCATCTGAGAACAAGGCGTTATCATCTCTGTGGCTAGGCAGTGTTAATCTGTTGGTAAGGGGTGGTGGTGGTGGTGGTGGTGGGGGGAGACTGGGAGGCTGTCGGGTGGTGCTTGCCTTGTCTGCCTTGTAATTTAAGACTTCATTTGGCACGTGTGCTGATGAAACCCTCTTTTGCCTGAATCTTCCGAACAGATTATTCCAGAATTCCTCGTGAATTCACTCAGGGGCCAACCTTGGCTTGTCCTTGCTGCATTCTTCCCATCTCTATTCTGTCTGCAGGCCCCATGGATTCTTTCTCCCTACCTGCAAGTGCCCTTGTGTTGCCCTGTCTTTGTCTGTTGCGTTCTCTCTTCTTTTTCTCTTATCAACCCCTTCTTACTGCTAGCAATCCATTTTTTTCTCTAAACATTTAACATTATATTTTATTTTATTTTAATTAATTTAGTTATTTTAAGATTTTATTTATTTATTCATGAGAGACACAGAAAGAGAGGCACAGACACAGGCAGAGGGAGACACAGGCTCCATGCAGGGAGCCCGACTTGACCCCGGGTCTCCAGGATCACACCTTGGGCTGAAGGCAACGCTAAACCGCTGAGCCAACCGGGCTGCCCTATATTTTATTTTATTTTATTTTTTTAAAAATTTATTTATTTATTTGAGAGAGAGAGGGAGGGAGAGAAAGAAAGCACCAATAGTGAGGGAGAAGAGGGGCTTAGGGAGAAGTAAACTCCCTGCTGAGCAGGGAGCCTGGTGCAGGGCTCAGTGCCAGGACTCTGGGATCATGACCTGAGCCAAAGGCAGACACTTAACCAACTGAGCCATCCAGGTGGCCCTAACATTTTATTTTTAATATTAGACTATGAATTGATATTTTTCTCTTGATGTACAGTTCTTTGATTTTTAAACACAAGTATGTATTCCCATAATCACTGTAATTGGGTTACATAGCAATGCTATCTTCCCAAAAAACTCTGTGTGTTATTCTTTTATAGTTAACCCCTCCCCCATCCATAATTCCTGGCAACCACTGATCTATTCACCATCTTTACGTTTTTTCTTTTTGAGATTGTCACATAAAAGGAATAATATGGAATGCAACCTTTTGAGATTGGCTTCTTTCATTCACATAGTAATACCTTTGAAATTCATTCAAGTGTGTATGAATAGGAATAGTTTATTTCTTTTTGAGTAGTATTTCTTACTCTTAGTATAAACAGTGGTTTAGTTTATTTACTTGTTGAAGGACACCTGGGTTGTTTGCAGTTTTTGCCTATTATGGGTAAAGTTGTTACAAACATTTCTGTATAGAATCTCCCCACCGCCAGTTTTTAGAAAAATAAACATAATATTTATCACTTCAACTATTTTTAAGTGTACAATGCAGTCGTATTAAATGTACTCATATTGTTGTGCAACCATCTCCAGAACTCTTCATCTTGCAAAACTGAAACTCTACTCATTACACAATAACTTCCTATTTCTCCACCCCCCCCCATCCTCTGGCAGCCACCATTCTACTTTCTATGATTTTGATTATACTAATAAGTAAGTGGAATCATACAATACTTGTTTTTTTTTGTGATGGGCTTATGTATAGTTTTTTTTGTGAACATAAGCCTTCACTTCTCCAGGATAAATGTCCAGTGCAGATGCTGAAATTTCTGATAGTTGCACCTTTAATTTCTTAAGAAACTGCTAACCTTTTCCAGAGTGACTGTAGCATTTTCTATTCCCACTAGCAATGTTATAGGTCCAGCCGTCTGCAGAGTTTGAATTAAATTTCTGGAGAGTTGACTCTGGTGACTGTTGAGTTAGATATTTACCCTTAGAGTATTCATCATTGGCTATTTTGGAAAATAGGAACTACCACTCCTGTATTCATTAATGTGGACTGGGGTAGAAGTGGAGAGAAGATTGATTGAGTTCTCACAAAAGTAGGGTAGGATAGAAAACCCTGTAGGAGTCCACTGCAGAAGTGTCCAAACCTGTGTGCATACCAGGATTCATCAGAGGAGCTCTTAATACACACATTCATGGGTTTCATACAGAACTACTGAATTGGAATCTGTATATTTAACAGGGGTTCAAGAGAGTTTTAAGCACTCTCTCAATTCCCACATCAGTTGGAAATTGTATTTTAAAGTCTATAGTATTTCCGAAATGTACAAGTTTTATTTTTTTTTATTTTTATTTTTTTTTAAAGAATTTTTTTTTAATTTATTTATTTATGATAGTCACAGAGAGAGAGAGAGGCAGAGACAGAGGCAGAGGGAGAAGCAGGCTCCATGCACCGGGAGCCCGACGTGGGATTCGATCCCGGATCTCCAGGATCGCGCCCTGGGCCAAAGGCAAGCGCGAAACCGCAGCGCCACCCAGGGATCCCGAAATGTACAAGTTTTAGAAACATATCTTGTACTGTATAACAAATGAAAAATTTTCCAAGCTCTTTTCTTTTCCACTTACTTCTATCCTTGACCCTATATTTATATTTTTGTCCCCTCTCCATGCTTGATTCTATTTCTAATTTTCTAAATTTCTAATTTTCTAAATTTCTTTGAAATTTTCAGGCAGACACTAAACCAATTTAAAGGCAGACACTTAACCAACTGAGCCACCCAGGTGGCCCTAACAACTAGGGGGAACCAGGTTCCCCCTCCCCCCCCCAGTTCTCCTCCCTGCTCTTCTTTTTTCATGTGTCTTCTGATAAGTTATTTTTTTTTTTTCTGATAAGTTATTGATTGCTCTTTTCTCTCTTCTCTCTTCTCTTTGGGTCCTGCAATTGTAACTTTCTAAGTTCCCTCTTCCTCCATCTTATAAATTCTTCACTCCTCATCATCCAGGGCTCATAACAAATTATATTTATCCTATTTGGACAGATAGATCTGAGTCTCTTCGCCAGATCATACTTACTCTTTAATGTCAGGAGTAGAAAGCATCTATCAGGGTTCGGTGGAGGAAACTTTAAATTTTATGTTCAAAGATTGAAGTTTCTTAAGGATCATTCTTATCAGTCTTTTTTTTCTTCTCGTATAGGGAAGAAGAGGAACGTTTAAGAAATAAAATTCGAGCTGATCACGAGAAGGCCCTGGAAGAAGCAAAAGAAAAATTAAAAAAGTCGAGAGAGGAAATTCGAGCGGAAATTCAGACAGAGAAAAATAAGGTAGTCCAAGAGATGAAGACAAAAGAGAAGAAGCCACTGCCACCAGTCCCTATACCAAATCTAATAGGAATAAATGGTGGAGACCCAGAAGATAATGACATACGAAAGAAAAGGGAAAAAATTAAAGAGGTAATAAAACTAAGATTTATGGTATGGAATGGTTATGGTATTTGACTGGATTCAGATACATATATGCATTTGTATCGTCTATGGTGTACTTTGTTCTTGTTTGTTTTCGGGTCATGGTTGTAGTTCAGATTCCAAGTTGGCAATAAGGGCTAGAATTCTCCTTTTTAATATGGATTATAATATCATTATCGGATACTTAATATTCTGATATAGTGTTGTTTGGATCACATTATACCACTCTATGTCAAGAAAGCTTTTGATATGCAACATCTTATAAATCATGTAGAATAGATCTGTAAATAATTTATCATTGAATAAAAAAAATTCTGAAGTGTTTAGTTACAAGGGACTATGCTAGATACTATGCACATCTCATAAACATACCTCTGAAGAGTTAGCATTCTATCTGCCATCTTTTAAAGTACAGATCTTGGAACCCCTCAACCATACCATACTGCAGATTCCTTTCAAAGGATTGAAAAGTGGGGGATGAATGACCTCAGAATTCTTTAAATTGTTTAGTCCCCAAAGTTTCCATTTATTTTTCTAGAAATTACTTGGAGATAAAGAGAATACCAGAGCAGGGGGAAAATTTAGTGAATATTAACAGTTAAGTTTGTTAATTAGAAGTCTTGCTAATTCTTGGTAGAGTTTGCAGTTACACTGTCTGCAAAGAAAGAGATTTTGTCAGGTTGTAGCAGTATCAGCAATATTTCAAAGGGATTGTTTATCATAAAATAAAGACAGCTTAGTTCAAATAGTTAAATATCTATTTGGATATTTCTAGTAACGACTATGAAAGATTTAGCAGGTACTTAACGTTTAAGCTTGGCCTAATGAATTACTTGTAAGACCTTGATGGAGTTAAAACAGAGCTGTACTTTGACGTTACCTCAGTTCTAGAATCTGTTTTATGTGCTGGCTGCTAAAGGCACTTTCTTTGGACCATATTGGGGAAACATTGATAGATTTTTTTGAGATGGCTAACCCATTTTTTAGATGTCATTAGAATTTACTGAAATACTTTTTTATGTACATAATAATTCAAAGACAGTGTGTCTTTAGGGGTCTCCCAAGACCACATACAGCCTCAGTGATTTGCTAGAAGTATTCCCAGAGCTCAGCAAAGCTGTTGTATTCATGATTTTGGCTTAGTATAGCAGTAGCATACAGATTAAAATTAGTAATAGAAAAGGCCCATATGACACTGGACACAAGTTTCTAGCTGTCCTCGTACAGTGGAGTGGTATGGACGGTGAACTTTCCTAGCGGTGATGTGTGCTAATGTGTAGGAGGGCCAACCAGGGAAGTTCACCTGAGCCTTGGTGGCCAGGGTTTTTATTTGAAGCTCATTATATAAGCATGGCTGACCTTAGTTCTCCAATGCCTCCAAAGGTCAGGGTGATAACATGTGGCCCAAGGCCCACAGCATAAATCATATTATAAGTGTACACTGTCTGATATGGCCCAAGGCTTCACTTAAACGAAGATACTCTTGACAGGCAGGATAATAAAATTTAGTGGTTATTTTCTAGGAGTCTGGCATAGGCCACAACTTTCTTTGGGATGTACAGGGTTTGGACAACCCAGACCTGGTGAGTTAACCCTTTAGAGCACACCATAATATCCAGTGTTCTTACGAGTCAACATGAAATCTATTAAGACCTCCCATGTGGGCTCCTGTTAAACCTTCCAGTCACTGATTTAGCAAGCAGTGAAAGTTGAAACTCAAGTTTATAGGGGAAGAAGCTAAGGAGACAAGGTGACATGGGCTGCAGAGTACTTAAAAGTTTCAAGAATTAGAGACATTGTTTACTTCTGAAGGCAGGGGTATGAAATGAAGTTGAAAAGGGATTATTTGAAAATTTTAAAAGGTGCTTTTAACTTCTAGATTCCCAAGTCTCCAGCTTAGCCATCCTGGCTGCTGCCTTCCCCATCCCAACAGAAGACTAAAGAGTACCTTTTGGAGGAATGAGTTAGAAAAGGTCTGGATTTGGGGAATACCAGTTATGGCTGAGGGAAAGCACAAACAAAGGAGTTAGGGTGGAGAGAATTAAGTGAAAAGTGTCCAAAATATGAGACCACTTTCTCCTGCTCAGCTCTCAAAATTCTAGCAGGTTTTTATATTCAATAAGCAGAAGATGGGAGGAGGACTTCTCTCTGAGACTGGCCCAAGAGAAAAGACCTATACTATTCTGCAGTGAAACACCCCGGGGTTTCACCTGTGCTTTTTAAGATGAGGCTCAACTCAAATTTTGCTCATTCACTGACAGCATTTAATTATCTTGTAAGTGCTTCCGTCTTCTGTGGAGAATAATCCAAAGATCACTAGGCGTTTCAGGAAAGTTTCTCACATTAGAGAACAAACAGATGGGAGAATTCAGGAATTCAGAGAAGACAGAAATAATACCAGGAGAACAAAAAAAAAAAAAAAAAAAAGAATTAGCATCATTAGAGTGACAAAAAATGGAACTCCTAAAATGAGAACAGTAAGTTATAAAAAGGAACGTTTGCAGAAAAATGAAAGAACTCTTAGAAATTAAAAAAAATATGATAGAGTTTTAAAATTCATTAAAAGAGTTGGAAGATAACATTGAGCAAATCCCTCAGTAGAACAAAGAAATTGAGAAAATAAGATCAGTCAGGAACATCTAACAAGTGATTAGAGGAAAAAGGAGAAGAAGTCAATTAAGAAAATTGGCTAAAGCTAAAGAATGTGAATTTACAGATAGAAAGGACCCACCAGGCATGGAACAACAATGAGCAAAAAAATAGAAGGAAAAAAAAGACGCCTACTGAAATTTTAGGAAAATAGTCATTCAAAAACAGATTGTGCAAGTTTACAGAAGAAAAAAAAGGTTCCACTCAAAAGATGGGATTGTATATAATGGCACCTCAGATTCCTCAGCCATAATATTGGAAACTGGAAGAGAGTGGAGCAATGGCTTAGAAAGAATTATATGTTCAGCCAAATTATGAATAAAATCTGAGGGTAAATTTAGTCATTTTCTCAAATTGCTCCTGGGAAATATGCTTCAGCACAAAAATAGGAAGAGAAGAGATTTTGGCAACAGGAGATCTGTCACTAGAGAGAGAAAGAAAGGGCATTCTCAGGATTCTGAATAAGAGACTCAGCAGGGTGACTGCTGTGCTTTAGGCAGAGAACAAAAGTCAAGGTTAGAGCAGGAGGCATAGAGAGTTTCAGGGAGCATATGTCAGGATAAAATGGAACTAATAATTTATCTGATGTGTTTGATTATACTGAGACAAGTTTTGAAGCTCAAGTATAATTTGGAAGTAAATTTAAAATTGTTAAATTAAAAACCTATGTAAACAAAAAAACCCAAGCCCTCAGACAAGTAATTAAAAGCAGGAAAAGCAAAAGTTGCATAGAGTAATATAATAATTATAAGAAAAACATGTTGCTAATTATATTGGGAGGATGTGGGCCAGAGAAATATATGTGAGGAAGTATATGTGGAGGTGTGGCATATAAAAGAGCTAAATTATCTTAACTATAGGGAAATATAGTATGTACCTAAACCTTCTTTAAAAATCAAGAAATAACACTATAAACCATATTTCAAAATATAGTGGTAAATAGAAAAAAATAGGTGAAAGAGTTTCATTGCCTCAGGAGAGTGGGAAAATATGGCAGACTATTGGATTTTTTTTTAAATTGAGCTTTATTGAGATATATGTATAAAATAAAATACATATTTTAAAAGTATGGGTGTTGTTAATGGGTGTTGACAGATCTATATACCTGTATAATCTATATACCTGTATAACAACAACTGTTACCAAGATGTGAATATGTTTATAATCTCAAAATGTTTTTCTTGTGCCCCTTTCTGATCAGTCCATCCGATTCCTTGGTCCTAGGCAACCACTGATCTTACAGTCATTATAGATTAGATTTGTCTTTCCTAGAGTTTCAATCAAATGGAATCATAAAGTATGAAAGTATGTGATATTTTGTGTCTGGGCATTTGGTCAGCATAATTTTTTTGAGATTCATCTATGTAGATTGCACGTAAAGATCATTTTTTTCTTAATAGTATTTGTGATATTGGTATACCATAATTTATTATTCACCTGTTAAACATTTGTCAACATTTGTTCCAGTTTTTGGCTATTATGAATAAAGTTGCTATGAACATTTGTGTACAAGTATTTGTGTGGGCACTTGTTTTAATTTTGACATATTAGTCTGTGATCTGTTGCCAGTTAATTTTTTGTTTATTGTTTGAAGTAAGGGCTGTGCTTCAGTTTTTGCCCCTAGGGCTTTCTAGTTGTTTCGGCATCATTTGTTGAAAAGATTATCCTTTCCTATTGAATTACTTTGGCACTGTTGTTCAAAATCATATGACTAAATCAGTAGATGTTAAGTCTCATTCTGGACTCAGACCTATTCCATTTGTTTGTATGCCAACCCCCTAATACCAGTAGGACACTGTATTAAAATCTTTATAGTAAACTCTGACAGCAGGTTAAAATCCTCCAACTTTGTTCTTTTTAAAAATTGTTTTGGCATTTTTGGGTTCTTTGCCTAATTTCTAGAATTAGCTTCTTTATGAAAATAGAAGGTTGTTGGATTTTAATTGGGTTTTATTGAATGTGTAGATGAATTGGGAAGAATTACCTTAACAATATTCACTGTTCAGTGAACATGTTACATGTTTCCACATAGATTTTCTTTAATTTCTCAACAGTGTTTTATAGTTCCCAGAATATAATTCTTGTACATATTGTCCTATTTATTCTGAAATATTTCATGTTTTTTGATAAATGGAATTTTTAAAAATTTCCATTTCTGTTTTTACTGGCGTATAGAAATATATTTGAGTTTAGTTTTCTGAACTTGTTTCCCTGTTACATGATTGAAGTCCCCTTATTAGTTTCAGTGGATTTTTTTTTGTTTTAGATTACTTAGGATTCTCCTTATACATATAATAATGTGCTCATTGAATAGAGGTAAACTTTCTCTGTTCCTTTCTGATTTTTCTATCTTTTATTTCATTTCTTACCTTGTTACACTGGACTTCTAGTACACTGTTGAAAATAAGTGGTGAGAATGGATGTACTTGATTTATTCTCAACTTTAAGGAGTTAAGCATTAAGTCTGGTACTATTAAGTATTTAAGTTAGCTGTAGGTTGTTTGAGGATCCCCCTTTTTTAGGTTATAGACATTTCCTTGTAGTTTACAGAGAATTTTTATCATGAATGGTGTTGAATCTTGTCAAGTGCTTTGTCTACCTCTATAAAAATGATTGTGTGATGTTTTTCCTTTTATTTTATTCTGAATTATATTGGTTTGGTTTTTGAATGTTAAATTAGTCGTAAATTCCTAGGTTAAACTGTACTTGATCATTACATAGTATCCTCTCTATAATGTTAATTTTCATTAAGGAATTTTGAATCTGTGTTTTTGAGATATATTAGTTTTCAGTTACAAGTCAGGATATTTTAATGAATACTGTTAATTGAATAGATTTTTGATATACCACAGTACACTATTAAATAATTCAACTGTTATATAATTACTCTGCTATTGTGTAGCTTGGAGCTCCTTGGGGTGTGAGAAGTGCAATTCAAACTAGTTGATATAAAAAAATACTAGCTTACTGGCTCTAAACTAGGGCTTCAAGCTTGGCTAAGTCCACATTTGTGGATGTTGTTGTCAATAATATGCACCTCTGTCCTTTTGTTGTTTAGTTTCTCCATATTGGGTTAGTGTTAGCTCCCATCAGCTTCAAGATGATATATTATGTAGACCTTGAGGTTCCAAATGAGTCCCTTTGTCTTCTAGTGTCTCTCATAGTATGCATAAAGAGACTTGATTGCTGCTACTTGAATCACACGTACCTACTCACTTTGATTAGGTCAGGGATTGGCAAACTACAACTTGCAAGCCAAGTTTTTTTTCTGTTGTGTAGACTGAGGTTAAACATGGTTATATGTGTTATCTTCACTGATACAAATATTGATAGAATAGTATCCTAATGTAGAAGATACAGGAGAATGGGCAAGGCTATAGTGATAGATGATCTAGATAGATGAATTAACAGTCTGTAAGTAATGTAAATTGATGGATTATAATTTTTCCTTTCTCAGATGATGAAACATGCCTGGGATAATTATAGGATGTATGGTTGGGGACATAATGAACTCAGACCTATTGCAAAGAAAGGACACTCCACTAATATATTTGGTAAGTTTACTTCTAATTATATATCCATTACTGTATCCATTTTCTATCTCCATCTTTAAAACAGAATCTAACTTTTTGAGTACTTTCTAAAACCTGAATATTTTGAATTATAACTTTGTAGCACATATTTACTTATTTTTCTTGCAAGTTTGAGTGATTTAAGATTTTTTCAAGATTTAGTGATAGTTGCTTTGGAATATACAGGGGATGTGGTAGATTTTCTATTTATATACAGGCACTGTAGTCATTTACCTGAGTATTTTGAAGCTTTTTTTTTTTCATTTTTAAAAATTTTTTATTTATTTATGATAGTCACAGAGAGAGAGAGAGGCAGAGACACAGGCAGAGGGAGAAGCAGGCTCCATGCACTGGGAGCCCGACGTGGGACTCGATCCCGGGTCTCCAGGATCGCGCCCTGGGCCAAAGGCAGGCGCTAAACCACTGCGCCACCCAGGGATCCCAGCTTTTTTTTTTTTTTTTTTTTTAAAGATTTTGTTTATTCATCAGAGACACACAGAGAGAGGCAGAGACATAGGTTGAGGGAGAAGCAGGCTCCTCACAGGAAGCACGATGTGGGACTTGATCCCTGGACCCGGGATCATGCCCTGAGCCGAAGGCAGACGCTCAACCACTGAGCCACCCAGGTGTCTCTGCATTTTTTTTTTTTTCTTTAACATCAAGGAAGTTAGGTACCTATTTGTAATTTTTCTTTGACACAGTTTTCATACTCCTCACAGTATAGAGGAGGAGGAGATGCAAATGAGAGCAGTAGTGCTTTGTATATACAAAAAACCATCACACACCCAGGGTGATTTGGTTGGTAGGGTGAGCAGGTTATGTTGTACATTCACGGTTCCAGGGGAAAGATTAATGTGCATGTGGATGGAGGTCTGGGGAAGAGCTGTGTTCATCTTGAGTTCACTTCAACTTTCTACCTCTCTTGAGTTTACTCCACTTGTTAAACTTCTCGGTTTAAAAATTGAGTGAGTTAATTTACTTAACTTTTACTTAACCCAAGGATAAATCTTGAGAATTATCAAGCTGTTCTTTATAATCTTCATCTCTTTCCCCCATTCTCAATTTTTCTTGATGTGGTGAGTATCTTTTAAGTAATGATAGGTGAAGGCAAGAAAATATTAATGGGGTAGGAAGGCACACATACTACTTTATGCAGTGCAGTTATCCTTACCAATTATAAAGTGCCACCACAGTAATCTAAATGACAACTTTTTTCTTTATGACATTTGGAAGGTTTTTTCTATTGCTTTGATTTCTCTTATAATTTGTTTTTTGCTATGTTATTTTTTGTAAAAAAATAAAATGACTGAAGAGATCATTTCTACCAAGTTTGAGACATGTTGGGATGGAGGAATAATGGAAAAAAATTTCCCTTAGCTAACCGAAGATACTAGAGATCTTTTAAAACAATATTTAAGTTAACATCTATCACTTAATGAAATAAAGTATGTTTCCTCAGCAAAGGTTACAGATAGAGAAATTCCATTGCTTTGTGGATGCCACATTGTGAGATACTAGTGCAGGGAAAGACATTATATTTAATGGTTAATTAAAATTAGGTCTTCTCTTCAACTAAGTATTTCTTTATATTAAACTCTGGTGAACTATGAGTCCTTTCAAAGGATTGGAATGTAAATGTGTACTGAAAATAAGAGTTGGATGTTAATTTTCTGCTTGTTTTTTTTAAACCTTATTTCCCAGAACATCTACTGTATTAACATTTATCAAAGAGATAGGACTCCAGAGCAAGGTAGTAGGTAAATAATGTATATTATTTCATTTAATCATTGTAATTGCTGTCTAAGGAAGATTTGTTTGCTGAATTAAATTCAGAATATAAATGAGTTTTCAGGTAACTAAAAATTCCATTCCTTATAAATCAATATAAATCTTTTAGTGAGCAAAGTGATATTTCTTAACTGAATGTAGTTTTGTTAAAATCCTAATGGAGAAGTTTTGACTTAATGTTTTTTTTCTGTGTAAAAACAATAGCTTTCTTTTTTTTAATGAAAGGTAGTTTTAATTTGTGCTAACTTTGTCAGACTTTTTCAAGTAAACTGTGTAGGTCACTCTTTGGTTAGGTTGGTAAATGATGACTCGGGTATGGTAGGTTCAGATTCTTGTCAAGTTGAGTCCTTGCCAGCTGGTTATTAAGTTGATTTAGTGGTTAAACTGAGAGTTATCCGTGAGATCCTAAAAGTTAAAGGAAATTAGAGTTGGAAACGGAGACTCTATAAAATGAGCCCTTTCATTCTGAGTTAAAGCAAATATTTGCCAGTGTTCCACCATTTTAGAGGAATCATCATGTAAATGAAAGCAATTAAGTATATTTCAATAAAAAGTTTTAAGTTTTTTTTATACCAATTTGGCATGAAATTAGTAACTTTAGGGATTCTATAACTTGGTTTATGAATAAGACTAATATTTTCCTTTAGAAGAATAGTCATATACACGTTAGTAGAAATATCAACAGTATTTATATAGTTCATACTGCTATGAACTAAATTGTGTCCCCCATAAATCTATATGTTGAAGCTCCAACCCTTAAGTGATTATATATGGAGATAGAACCTTTAGGAGTTAATAAAGTTAAATGAAGTAATAAGTGTGGGGCCCTATTGATTGATAGGGCTGGAGCCCTTAAGAGGAAGAAACACTAGAGCCCTCTCTCCTCATGCACATGCACCAAGGAAAGGTCATATGAGAATATAGTAGGAAGATGGCTGTCTACAAGCCTTCACCAAAATCTGGATCCTTGATTTGGACTTTTACAGCCTCTAGAACTATGAGAATAAATTTCTGTTGTTTAAGCCTCCTAGTCTGTATATTGTGTTATGGCAGCCCAAGCAGAGTAATAAATGTACTATATGCTGAGGACTGGTTTTAGAGATTTATGTGAATGAACTTATTTTGCATTTAAAACAACTATAAGAGGCAGGTGCTGTGGTTACTCTTTCCATTTTACATATGAGGACATCGAAGCACATTTAGGGTTAACTAACTTGCCCCAGATCACACAGTTAGTAAATAATGGAGCCAAGATTCGAATCCAGGCAGTCTAGGGCCAAGGTCCCTTCTTCTAAACACCATTCCACACTATTTCAGTAGATTCTAAAGACAGAAAAGCATTAATAGCAGAACACAGGAAAAATCCATTGTGAGAAGAAAATTATAGTGAAATGGTAGAAAAAGTGAAAATTTAGTCTGCAGAATTTTCAGTAATCAAAATTAGGTGCTTATATCTTTTATTTTTTTTATTTTTATTTTTTATTTTTTTGGTGCTTATATCTTTTAATAAAACTTTTGAGTGGTTACAATTTTTTTTCCCACCAAATAAGCTAGGTAGGAATGGATCCCTTATTGTTATATTTTTAGATATGCAGTTTATTAAAGGATTAATAAACAAAGTTCAAGACTTCGTTTCTCACTTATTCTCTTCTTTTTTGCATTTCATATTTGCTAGTATGACTTGGAAGTTAAAAAAATTTTTTTAATTTTTATTTTATTATTTTTTTTACCTTTGTTTAAATAGAAGAAATCTAACCAATGGGTAATAGTTCTGAGTATCTCATTTGACATCCTAAATTCAGTATGCCTTTACAGAATCAATCTTAGAGTTAAAAGGAACTTTAAAAGTCTGGCCTATTATGGAACATATAGGCGAATATTGAACATATAGGATCATATAGGCGAGTATTGAAACTTGCAGTATTTGAGATTATATGGAAAATAACTTAATATGTGTCCTTTCCCATGTTAGTAGCTTTAATTATGAAAAAAATTATATGGTAACTGCAATCAGTGTTCCTCTGACTTCTACTAGCTAGTGCTTGGCATTATACAATTTTTTATGTGTAGATAACAGAAAACCCATTTCAAAATGGCTTAAACTAAAAGACATTTAATCACTCAGTGAAGTCCTAGCATAGATTGGAATCCAGCTAAGCTTTTCCTTTACGTCTTTCCTCTGTGTGTTGATATCTTGACATTGGCTGCCTCAGCTTTATATATTCATATTACCACATCTGTAGAAAAGAGAACTGTAGTGAAGGGAGCACTTGGGTTTCTTAGAAACTTCACCGAAAGACTCATTGTTTCTTGTCTCTAATTGGTTTTTGAGCCCATCCTCTAACCAAATACCATTCCCAGAAGGATGACATATATTCCTTTGGTTTTACCCAGTTAAGGCAAACTCCTGGAACTAGTGAGGGCAAAGAAGGAAATGTTGCTGGACACAAATTAGCACTGATATTAATTATTCCAATAGTGATTAATGGAATGAGTTCTCCAGAATGAGGTATTTTGGAGAATAAAAAGAATTTTGTGATGGATAGGTCTTTTTGTATTTATTTTTTTTTAACTTTTTTTTTCTTAAAGATTTTATTTATTCATGAGAGAGAGAGAGAGAGAGAGAGAGAGAGAGAGAGACAGAGAGACAGGCAGAGGGAGAAGCTGGCTCCATGCAGGGAGCCTGATGTGGGATTCCATCCCAGGACTCCCAGGATCACACCCTGGGCCGAAGGCAGGTGCTAAACTGCTGAGCCACCCAGGGATCCTGGTCTTTTTGTATTTAAAAGAAAGCATTTTGATTTGGAAGAGAGTTACTTTGGAGTGCTTTTTGAAGTGTGCTTTTATTTTCTCTATGTGTTATCTATGTGTCTATAGGTGTGTGTGTGTGTGTGTGTGAATTCTTTTTGCTATTTCCAACTTAACTGTGTTATGACTTCTAATATTTTGTTGAGAATTTATGCATATTTATATTTTGCATTCATATTCTGTATTTTTCTTGCATTGTTTTGTGGTATCAGGGCAATACTGGCTTCATAAAATAAATTTGGAAGTGTTCTCTGCTCTTCATATTTCTGGAAGAGATTGTTAAAGATTGATTTTATTTTCTTCTTCAGTGTTGGTAAAATTAACCACGGAAGCCATCTGCATCTGGAAATTTTTTTTCTGGGAGGATTTTAAACTGCTAATTAAGTTTCTCTAGATGTAAAGACCAATCAGTTTACCTACAGTTGACACTTGAACAACGTGGGTTTGAACATGGGTCCACTTATGTGTGAGTGTTTTTTTAATACAGTATAATAGTGTAAGTGCATTTTCTCTTAAGATTTTTTTCAAATTTTTATTTGAGTTCTAGTTAGCTAACATACAGTGCAGTATTGGTTTCATGAGCAGAATTCAGTGATTCATCACTTAGATGAAACGCCCAGTACTCATCACAGGTGCCCTGTTTAATACCCATCACCCGTCTAGCCCACCCACCACCACCCTCTTCCCTTCATCAATCCTCAGATTGTTCTCTGTCATTAAGAATTTTTGATGGTTTGTTTCCTTCTTTTTCTTTTTCTCATATATTCATCTGTTTTGTTTCTTAAATTTCACAGAAGTGAAATCATATGGTATTTGTCTTCCTCTGACTTATTTTGAATACCCTCTAGCTTCATCCATGTTGTTGCAAATGACAGGATTTCATTCTTTTTGATGGCTGAGTAATATTCAGTTGTGGATGTGCTTGTGTGTGTATATGAATCTTACAGTTTTATTAATAACATTTTTCTAACATATCTTATAAGAATGTAGTTTATAATGCACATACAAAATACGTGTTAATCAACTGTTTATTATCACTAAGGCTACTAGTAAACAGTAGGCTGGTTAAGTTTTTGGGGATTCAAAAATTTCACGTGGGATTTTGACTGCATTGGAGATCAGTCCTCTTAACCCCAGGGTTATTCAAGGGCCAACTGTATTTCTTCCTGAGTGGGTTTTGATGGTTTGTGTTTTTTGAGGAATCGGTTCATTTCATCTTAGCTGTTGATTTTATGTGTGTAGGGTGGAGTATTGCCTTGTATCTTTTGAATGTTTGTGGCAGCTGTAGAGATAATCTCCCCTAATTCCTTTAATTCCTAATATTAGTAATTCATGTTTTCTCTCTTTGTTGGTCCTATTAGAAGCTTGGTTTCATTGATCTTTTTAAAAAATTTATCATGGCTCACTTTAACCAAATCTTAGTAAATCAAATTTATAGTTTTCTTAGTTTTTCTCTGTTGATGCAGTCTTACTTTTTAATTTGCGTTTTGTATTCCCTGGCTACTTTTTAAGCGCTGGTTAGGGGTAGAGTCATTGTATAGTTCTTCTGATAGAACTATCCTTGAATTTATATTTTTGACAATTTTCTTTATTTCTAATTCATTAATTTTTGCCTTTTAACTTTTCTGATTCTTTTATTTTTTGCTCAAGTTTATCATTTTTTCTTCCTTAGTAGGATGTTGTGAATTCAGTTATTTTCATTTGTTCTTATGAAATAACATAAAATTTTCAAGTTACAAGTTTCTGAGAACTGTATTAGTTGAATCCTGTGTTCTCATAATAAAGTTTTATTAATGTTTTATATATTCTACAGTATTGTGTTTCACTTCTTTTGACCCAGGGGTAGTTTAGATCTTTTAACTTTATCCAGTCTAGGTAAATAATCATAGTGATAGCCAGGAACTTCAATTTTATATTTCTCTTCCTTGGGCTGTTTAGCCCAGGCACAAACCTTTTTGTGGAACTAACCAGAATTGGTATAGAACAGGTGGGTCAGGCCTTTCTCTGTTCCAGAGTTGTTAGCATCATGGAGGAGTATGCACTTCCAGGATTCCATAAATAAGTAGAGAACTGAAGAATAACTACCTATAAAAATTGAAATAACAATAACAGGTACTCTTAAGGATTTTAAAATAAGCATGATAAATATTTTGGATGAAATATTATTAACAGAAATAAATATTTAAGTGATCATGGAAGAGAGAGGATTATATGGGGGACTAAAGGCTTGATAAAATATTTGCATAATAAAAAGCTGAGGAACAAAGAAAAATAAAAGGAGAGTATGTCTGTAATAACCCAGAACAAACATTCTGGTTATTGTTAACATGAAGAGAACTTAAGTGGGGATAAAATCCAGGAACTCATCCGGGAATGGTGGAATGTTTGTCTTGTTAGTGGGAAGATAATACTTATTGATAAGTTGAAATGAATTGTTAGAATCACATGAAGAAGAAAATGTGATGTAAGTTTAGGACAAATGTTTTAAGAACGAATTTGTATAGCTTTAAAGCGTCAGAAGAAAGCACTGTTTGCCCAGTGGAAAAAGGGATGGAAGGAAAAAGAAAAGAATAGTAACTAAGCAATGTCAAATGTGACTTATTGATAAAATATGCGGAGTTTAATGCTTAACTGTCAGAGCCTTAGTAGCCCGTCAAATGGAGAAGGACAAAGTTGGGATATTTACTGAGATTTTTAAGTCTGGGTTAAGATGGGCCTTTCAGTTGGGGTTTGGGGTACTTGGTTATGATTGGGTAAGGACCATAATATAACAGTTTAGAATTGGTAAGCAGTGAATTTGGAGATAAGGAGTTCAGAGTTTTGGGGCTTAAGCCATCATTTGATGGTTTGCATTGAAGGGTTGATGGGTCTTTCAGGAAGTTCCTGGAATGAACAGTAAAATTATTTTGCAGCATTTATCTTTCTGGGCCAGGGTAACAGTAAACTCATGTTGATGAAGACAGTATAATAATTAAGCCATTTTAATGTAGGTAGTAACAAGTGTGGATGATTTTTATTTTCAGAAGATAGAAATAATTGTGTTCCAGGGGTTGGGAAAGACTCATCCACTCCTAGTTACTTATTATTTTACTATGCTTTAGATTTATTTTAGGTTATATTCATGATTTTGCAGTTTATATTCATTAGTAAGATTGACCTGTATTCTTGTCATATGTTTACAGTGACTAGTTTTGCTATCAGCTAGTTTTGTTAGTTTCTCCCTCCCTGAATTGTTTCCTTTAATTTCAAGATTCTCTCTCTCTTAAAGATGGGTATAGATCTTTATATTTTGATTTTTTTGATTATTTTGATTTTCTCTACTCATATTTTGATTTTTTTACTCATATTTTGTTTAGTATTCACTTTCTTTTTCAGTATGATTAACCTGCTTTTTGATTGTTAAGGATCATTATAGTTGCTGTTGTACTATGATCATCTAGCCCTATTGTACTTTCATGATTATTTCTAAGTATATATTTTCCCTTCCTTTGAATTTGTACCAGAAGAGCATGGTTGTATTATGACTTAGCTTAACATTTTTTGAACAACCCTCCCCATTTCTTGAATTAATCTCCCCCCTTTTTTTTAAACTTAGTTAAGTTGGTAGATATCTCATGCTGTGACCAGGAAGAAAATGAAGGAGAGTTACAATTTTAGTTTTCTTTTACCTTCCTATTGTCAACATGTCATCTTTAGGGAAATATATTGAATAGGGTTTATTATTCTTAAGGAAAAGCGAACCATGTTGGGTATTATTTTTGGTCCTTATACTCCTGCTTTGGTTTTTTATATGTTAAAAAATTAAAACAGACCTTCTATGTAGGGCATGTTATTAATGACAGTTATTTTCCCTCACCTAAAATATAGGAAGTTCACAAATGGGTGCTACCATAGTAGATGCTTTGGATACCCTTTATATCATGGGACTTCATGATGAATTTGGAGATGGGCAAAAATGGATCGAAGAGAACCTTGATTTCAGTGTGGTGAGTATACAATTGATGACTTCTTTGATCGGCTATGAAAAGACAGTGTCTAAACCATGGTGGTTTTGAGCATTATACCAGCAGTTTAAGGAACTCCTAAATCCCCTGTCTTCTTTGGAGATTAGAGTTGTTATTTAACTTTTGCATAAAATACATACTCTTTTTCACCATCTTCCTTTCACTTTTCTTAACCTTATCATTTGAGGCAGTGTGTTAAGCAATAGTAACAGAAAAAAAAAAAAACACACAGGACTAGAAATACCAGGCAAGCATAAACTATAAACAGTAAGCATTTTGTTAATTTTTACTTATTTATATATATTTTAAAGATTTATTTATTTATTCATGAGTAACAGAGAGGCAGAGACATAGGCAGAGGGAGAGCAGGCTTTTTGCAGGAGCCCAATGTGGTTCTCGATCCCAGATCCCAGGATCATGACCTGAGCCAAAGGCAGCCGCCCAACCACTGAGCCACTCAGGCATCCCACATTTTGTTAATTTTTAAAGATTCAATAATCCGGTATAGCTTTGATGAGCCTTCATAACAAGGCTGATGCCCCTCTTTCCAGCATTTTGGCATAGTTGTTAAGTGGTGTGGCTGAAGTTTGAAGCCTGGCACAGCTACATTCTCACTGTGTGACTTGGGAAAGTTCCGTATTTTTTTCTAAACCTGTCATAAAATTACTATTGCATTGCAATATTGTAAGGAATATTTGAGATAATCTGGTACACATTAAGTGTCTGTAATTATTATTGTGGTAGGAATTATTTTCATTATTGCTAGTATTCACTCACAAGTTGTATGGACTGTTTTTTCATATTCATTATCTTTAGTATTTTAGTGTTTGCTGTTCTTTCTCTTGCTGTGGTCAGAAGTCACTCTTTCATTATGTGTTTTTCTCTGGCAGATTCTGCATCACTCAAGTTATGATTTAAATCCATAATTATTTCTTCTCTCATGCTTTTCTGATGCTAACCACACAAAAATGGATTACTTTTTTAATATTATTATTGCATTTTAAACATACATCAGTTAGACAATTTTTTTTTAATTTTTATTTATTTATGATAGTCACAGAGAGAGAGAGAGAGGCAGAGACACAGGCAGAGAGAGAAGCAGGCTCCATGCACCGGGAGCCCGACGTGGGATTCGATCCCGGGTCTCCAGGATCGCGCCCTGGGCCAAAGGCAGGCGCCAAACCGCTGCGCCACCCAGGGATCCCGACAATTTTTATTATCAGTTAGATTTAGGTTTGCCTGTGAGTGGCAGAAAATCTAATATAAAATAGCTTAAATAAGATAGATGTTTATTTCCCTTTCATGTAATTAGGCACAGAGAGTAAGCAGTTTAAGGTTGGCTTGGTTTAGGATACTTAGTCTTTTTTTTTTTTTCCACAATACATAGGCAGGTGAAACAATTTTATTTCACAATTGCCTTTAAAACCTTGAATACACTATGTTCTTCATATAAAAACATTACTGCAGATATCTTACTTTCTAGAAAATGATTATGTAGACCCTCTCAAAGAAAAATATACACCATTCTATGGTTTCAGACAAGTTGCTTGGACTGGTTGCTAAAACATACCATAAGACCACCCTGTGTCTTTTGGTTCAAAGTATAGATTATTGTCATCAGTACAGTACATTCTTACATATTTAATAATACACATATAGACTGGTTTGTGACTTAATGTTCCATTGGTTCTTCAGGCTTTCCTGCAGGTTCATGAGCAGATTGAGCAGGCTATTCCCCTTTCTGGGGTCTTTGAGACTTTCCAGGAATGGAGATACATCATCATCATCAGTTGTGAACTCTAAGTCTTTACCAACAATTCCAGTGGAAACATTCTTTATAATTAGGTCTTGTTTTGCAGGAAGTGTTTAACCAGTGCAAATTGCACTCCATAAACCCAGATGTATGTCTCTCCAAGTATAAGTACAAGCTGATTGAGAACAGGCTCCAATGGGCATGGTTCTACATCAAAATAGTTGGCAGATGGACAAGTTTAGAAAATGTGAGGGCCCGTATCATGTTAACCAGCAATAAGAGTACAACACCATGTATTCTCCGGCCATTTATTTGTGTTAGTATTTGGTTCTTGCTTCTAATTAGTGATACAAGACAAGACATAGGAAGAAATCTGTCAAGTACAAATCTGGAATCCAAACACTCCTGGTGCACAAAATTACATAACAGTCTAGCATCAGCAATAAGTGCCACAATTGAGATACCACTATGGTTGTCAACATGGAGAATTTTCTTCTGATGAACTGCAAGCTCTGATTGTGCCATCTTCAATGCAACCAACACTGCATGGATTTTGTATTTTAGACCAATGTGGCTGAACCTTATTTGACAGCTTCCATTACATACTCAATTTGATGAACCTGTCCCGAGGGCTCCAAACAGTGACATCATTGTCATACTGTTTATGAAACATGGTTCCAGTGTGAGTCTGGCTATGGCCTCCTGCAAGAGGTTCAGGTTCAGAAGCCCTTTATTTTGTTGCTCTGTCAACTTCAGTGTATAGCTTCAATCTCATGGTTCAAGGTGGTTCCTTGCTAAGGTGGATGAAGCTCCTAATTGGAGAAAAGATATGTGAGTCTTCTGTAAAAACAGTTTACAGGAATCGGTTATTCCAATTTTGCTTGTATAACATTGAGTAGATCTGACTCATATGGCCCAACCTTAGTGTAAAGGAAGTGTGAGAGATATAGTCTCCCTTTTTTTTCCTCCTGTTTGGCTACGTGGTCCTTAGAGGATTTTTTTTTTTTTTGTATCTTATTTAAGAAATCCCTACTCTTCTTGAAGAGTATTGAATATTCCTATATTTTGTTCTGAATGTTTTAAAGTTTGGCGTTTGCATTTAGGTCTTTAATTCATATGAAATTGATCTTGTGTGTAAGGGTGAGAGAGACAACTATCAGTTGATCCTAGAACCATTTATGTCCTTGCTGTTTATACATGCCACATAAGTTATATGAGTCAGTTCTTTTCTGTTGGCTTAAACTGTCTTAACTGCAATATTTTTATAGGAAGCTTGATATCTGATCTTGTTCTATTAGGAAATTATCTTAGCAGTTCTCAGCTCTTTGTTCTTGTAAGCTCTGGAGTACTGTTGACATTTTGATGAGAATTGCATTCAATTTACGGATTAATTTGGAGAGAATTGACATCTGTACAGTCTCAAATACTCCTGTCCATTAACATGTCAGCTTATTAGGCTTTATAATCCGCTAGTATATCATTGTATCAGTTTGCTCAATCAGGAACCAGAATTATAACATTTATTTTAATTAGAGGATTTAATGTTTAGAATTGTTAACCAATTAACAAGGAATTGAAAAGGCAAAAAGAGAACATTGTAGTATCACAAGAGGTAGTAACAACAGTAAACATCTACCTCCTTGGGACTGTGAGAACAGTGGGAGGAAGTTGGGATTATTAAAATTTAGTACTTAGGGACTGTTTCTGGTACATTGGGAGCTTTTGAAAGGGCTTTTTTAGAGTTGGGACTCAGACCTCTGAGGAGAGGATCCCTAGCTGGTCCTTGGTATTTCAAAGGGCCATGGTGAGGCTGATTTGGAGAATGTGTGTGGCAGGGGAACTGTAATGTGGAACCAAGTGCCACTGCCAGGGCAAAGAATGATGGCTGGTTTGACACTGTCAGAAACCAGAAGTAAATTGGAAGGAAGAAGTCCTTTCTCCTTCCTGCAGCCTTGTATTGTCTTTGTAAAACCTCCTGTTGGCAGGGCCCATATGGGAGCCAGCTGGCTAATGAGACATAGATTTGCAGAGTTCCAATTCCAGTATACCAAAGTAGACTATAGAAGGATAGATTTGAACCTGAGGGGGGAAAAAAGCTTAATAATCAGCACAGTCATTTACCATCCCTTTACCCTTAACCTTTCTTGTGTCATATGTTATAGCTGTATATTTCGCATATAGTGTGTATTTGGATTTTGTTATTTTTATCCAGCCTTGGAGTCTTTTAACTATGAAGTTTGGAATATTTGCATTTATTGTGATAACATATATTTGGAGTTGGCTCTTCCATCTTTGTTTTTCAACCTATATTATTATTGTATTTTTCATTGTTTTTATTTTCTACTTCCCTTATTCTCAATTAAATTACTTCATGTCTCTCCCCCCCCCCACTTCATTGACATTTATACTTGTCATTTCCATTCATTTTGGGGCAGTTCTTGAAATTTTATATGTACACTTAATTGAAGTTTAAAATTAATCAGTTTCTTTTTCCTCATCCTGAAGAATATTAAGTGTCTTAGAATTCTTTAATTTACTCATCTCCCTCTTATGTATAATTATTATCCAGCTGGTTCCAACTTGTATTTGAAACTTTGAAATTGAGGAATGAATGGATGACTGACTGAATGGAAGAATAAATGAATTTATTGAATGCCTCCTCTGTGACAGGCACTGTTCTGGCTTCTGTGGATACGGTAATTAGCAAAACAGAGTCTTCTTGCTCTTTGAGTTTGTGCTTTAGTTTTGGGAGGAAAAACAGTAAATAAATATTCAAGTCACATATAGTATATCAGGTGGTGATAAGTGCTGTGAAGAACTAGGAGAGCAAATAGGATTGAAGTAAGTAGTGTGGGGTTGCCATTTTACATGGGGTGGCTAGCTAAGTACTCTGTTATACAGTAACATTTCTAAGAAGAGACCCAAGGGAAGCTATATGGATATAAGGCTCTATCATAATGGATGTTATAGTTGAGTATAGGATTAGAAAAGTTGATTATTTTCTCAACCTGGGAAAGGTACAGTTTCATTGTCTTCCTGTTTCTCTTATACTATTGGAAAGTATGCTATCAGTCTAATTTTTCATAGGTAATATGTCTTGTTTTCCCCTTGTTTTAATCTTTTTTTTCCCTACCTTCTAGAATTCAATTACCAAATACACATGTGTGGATTATTCTTTAAAGGACTCATATTATTCCATCAGTCTAAGAATTTGTTTTTATCAATTTTGGAAGATTTGCAGTTGTTACTCCTTTGAATATTGCTTGTTGTCCCATTCTTTCCCTTCTCTGCCTTTAGAGCTCTTCTCTTCTGTCTCTCTTGTGAGGGAAGTTCTCAATTTTACAAATAAAGAATTATAAGCAATCAGATGATGATAAGTATTAATTGAGGAAATGATGCAGGTTAAAAGAGATTAGTGATGGGGGCTTACTTCATTCTATATTGTGAGTTTGGAAAAACCTGTTCACAGAACTGTAGGTAAAGTGTAAAGATTGACATACAAGAGTGAGTTTGGTAATTTTAGAACAGTAAGTAGACTCATTTGATAATAATGCAGTGAGTCAGGAGGACTCCTATTTGTAGGAGATGATGTCAGACAGGTAGTGGGGAATCTGAATATGTTGGGTCTTATCAGTTATTTTGTTCCGAGTGTAACCAAAAGTCATAGTAAGGGTTTGCACGCAAAATTACTGAATGTGACTTAAAGGTGTAAGAGGTTCACTCTACCTACAGGGTGCTGAATAAATAGAGTGTAAGGAGAGGCATAAGGCTGAAATTAGGGGAACTGGTTAGGAGGTTATTGTTTCAGTGAGTAATAGAGGCCTGCCCTCCTCTCTTTCACTGCCTTTCTGTATTTAGTGAATGTCTGCTATGTGCCCTGCAATATGCTATGTAGTGGGAATATATGAAGTGTAGTATAAAGCATTTTCCTTTCATGGGTGGGGTGGGATGATAGATATGTTATTAAAAAATTCCATTATGTGGAAGATTTTATATCAGAGATATGTACTCGTGTTAGCAAATGATGTGTTCTGCCTATTAGTGTTAGAAAGACTTCAGGATGATACTGTATTTCCTTTTCATTTTTATTAAAAACATTTTAGTTATGAACATTATATCAGTTTGTAGTATATATCTTGTGGATTCTTTGGTCATGTTCTCTGCCACTTCTACTTTTCTTTCCATGTATTAGAATTTTTCTCAGCAATATCTAAATCTGTATCTAAATATGAACATATATACTTTATCTGGTAAGGTTATTAATGCTATTTTTGTGCCAAATTCTCTTCTGTTTTTGTTTGGCTTTTAATTTTGTTTGTAATTGTTTTTCTTAAGGAAATTTTCATTTTGGGGAAATTCCAGTTTTTCTATCATCATTTATTACCAGTACAGTTACTTTGTCAAGGAAATTTTTATGTTGTCACATTTTCTCCTACTTTGTGTTGTAATTTTTTCTACATTTATTTCTAAACTATTTATATTTCATTTTGAGAGAAAGAGAGATAATCTGAAATGAGTATCTAAATTAATTTCTAGCCTAGGATCCAGTTTTCTCAACATTATTAATTGAATAATCCATCATCCTATCATTTTTTGGTGCCTCTTTTAACATTAAGTTTTTATGTATATGAGGAAAAGTATTTAAAACTCATGAGAAATATATTTATATATATAAACGGACAGTGTGCTGTAGTAACTAGAACAGAAGGAAATGGACCCAGTAGAGAAACTGCTATTCCAGAATTCAAGAAGGCTTTCATGAGAGAATAATCAAGAGCATTAAATATTGTGCTAATTTCAGAATAATAGGTAAAGTACATAAAAATGATTTTGGCTAATAGGAAGCTGTGGTGACAGTAATAGAGGAGTTTCAGTAACAATAAATGGGAAATGAGATTGCAGTTGCATGAGAAATGAAGGTAAGGGAAGTGGAAAAACATTCTCTCAGAGTGTTTGTGAAAAACATACAAAGTACTGAAAATATATGGAAAACTATAAAGTTTTATGTATATGTAAATATTTTCAACATGTTTTCACAGAATTCAGAGGTGTCTGTGTTTGAAGTCAACATTCGATTTATTGGAGGCCTGCTTGCAGCTTATTACCTTTCAGGAGAAGAGGTGAGCCACTCAGGTAGTCGTTGTTTGTGGGGAAGGCGCTCTGAACAGACTTTAATAAAATGAAAGTTTTCCCCTTACAGCATATTATTTTTTCTTAATTATCTAATGTTGGATTCATGTAAAGTTTTGCTGAGAGAACTAGATTCTTCAAGTAGAACCTTGGTAATAATGATTTTCCCTTTTTTTGAGAATTTTAGTAAAATGTGAATTCATCGCAGATCCTATCTCTGTATACACCACTTCTCCTTTGCAGGAACTGTCCTTCTCCAGGATTTTGCCGCTGTAATTAATTACATGGTTGAAATGGGGGCAGGGGGATTGGAGGCCGTGGTTAATAAGATCAGAATTAAGGAATGAATCGGGAAGAATGAATATTAATTAGTTATAAAAATTAATTATAAAAGCTCCCTTTTTGGAAATTAAATGAAATTTTTTGCTATAGATTTAAAAAGCAACACAGCAATAACTCTGAATTCTTTCTGGAAGTCTTGGTGTATGTAATATACATAGATTACATACATACATAGATTTGAGACCTGTGATGGAGAAGTGGGTGTGGGAAATTCCTTTTTACTACTCAGGTGGGTTTAAAGGATGGAGTTGGAGAGTGGGAGGAAGATACTAAAGAAAGAGGTTTTAAGTCATTTCTATTTTGTTTCATCAGGAAATTCTATATTAAATGGTCTAAATGATTGTAAGAGCTCTTTGTAAATTTAAGAAAATTCATTTTTTGTTATATGTGTTGTGAAGATAGATTCCTGTGTTGTTGGTATTATACTTAACTGTTTGCCTAGGGGCACTGGGTGGCTCAGTGGTTGAGCGCCTGCCTTCGGCTCAGGTCATGATCCCGGGGTCTTGGGATCGAGTCCTGCATCAGGCTCCCTGTGGGCAGCCTGCTTCTCCCTCTGCCTATGTCTCTGCCTCTCTCTGTGTGTCTCTCATGAATAAATAAATAAAATCTTTAAAATAAAAAAAGTAAAAAATGTTTGCCTAATCCAAGGTCAGAAGGATATTCTCTTATGTTTTCTTCTTTTTTTTAAATAATAAATTAATTTTTATTGGTGTTCAATTTACCAACATACAGAATAACACCCAGTGCTCATCCCGTCAAGTGTCCCCCTCAGTGCCCGTCACCCATTCACCCCCAGCCCCCGCCCTCCTCCCCTTCCACCACCCCTAGTTTGTTTCCCAGAGTTAGGAGTCTTTATGTTCTGTGTCCCTTTCTGATATTTCCCACACATTTCTTCTCCCTTCCCTTATATTCCCTTTCACTATTATTCATATTCCCCAAATGAATGAGAACATACACTGTTTGTCCTTCTCCGATTGACTTACTTCACGCAGCATAATACCCTCCAGTTCCATCCACGTTGAAGCAAATGGTGGGTATTTGTCGTTTCTAATGGCTGAGTAATATTCCATTGTATACATAAACCACGTCTTCTTTACTCTTATGTTTTCTTCTAAAAGTATTATGGTTTTACTTTTAAGTCTATAATTCATTTTGAGTTAAATTCTATTATGCTGTGAGGTACAGGTTGAGCTTTCTTTCCTTTTGGATATTAAAAAAATTATAGCAATATTTATTGAAAAGACTCTTTTTTCTCTATTTAATTGACTTGGCACTTTTGTTGAAATCAGTTAACCACATGCGTGAGTCAGCGTCTCACCTCTCTGTGCTCTTGCTGTTTGTGTCTTTTTGTCACACTGTGTGAACTACACTGTGTTCATTATTATGGCTTTATGGAAAGTGTTGAAATCAGGTTGTGTGAGTCTTCCAACTTTGTTCCTTTTCAAAATTCTTTTGGCTATTCCGGTTTTCTGTGTAAATTTTAGAATCAGTTTGCTGATCTCTACAGAATATTCTACTGGGATTTTGATTGGGATTACCTTGAATCTATAGATGAGTTTATTTTTTTTTTTAAGATTTTATTTATTTATTCATGAGAGAGAGAGAGAGGCAAAGACACAGGCAGAGGGAGAAGCAGGCTCCTCGCAGGGAGCCTGACGTGGGACTCGATCCCGGGTCTCCAGGATCACACCCTGGGCCAAAGGAGGCGCTAAACCGCTGAGCCACCGGGGTTGCCCTATGGATGTGTTTAGAGAAAATTGGTATGTTAACAAATATGGAATCTTCAAACCGTGAACTGTATCTGTCCAATTTATTTGCCCTTTAATTTTCTTCCTTGATATTTTTAGTTTTTAGCATATAGATATTTTATATATTTTGATAGATTTATACGTATTTCATACTTTTTGGTCCTATTATAAGTGGGACTGTGTTTTTTATTTCAATTTCTAGTTGCTTATTGCTAGTATATATAGATACAATTGATTTAAAATAAAGTTTTAATAAAGACTTAAACTTTCAGCTGGCTTAGGCCATCTTCTTTATCCCTGAATAACTTCCTGGTGCTGTCATTTTAAAAAATATTGTAAAGTGTACATAACAAAATTTTTCATTTACCATTACAGTTCAATAGCATTAAGAACAGTCACACTGTGCAGTATACTGTTGGGGAATGACTGCATGGGAAGTTTCCATTTTTTAATATCTTTCTTCGTATCTTCAACATTTCTATAGACAGAGTTGTTTCCCTTATTCTCCATCAGTTTTAATTACATTTAGTAGAAACCTTAGTCTCCAGTGAAAACTAGGTAGTAATTAATTGTACTCTTATACCAAAACTCTTTATAAGACAAATTTATGAATTTATTTAGCACAAAGCACATTTATCAACAAATTTAAATATCCTTAGTTTCTTTGCAATAGGAAGTCAAAAGCACAGACCTATGTCCGGTAATTAATGCTGTAGCATTTTATTCCATTTGGAAAAGACCTAGATGCCAATGAATTTAATTTTAATTACCATCCAAGCAAAACTTAAAGTTTAGATTTACAAAACCTTTGAAAGCTATCTTAACAATATCTATAAAAACTTTGAGACAGACAAGATAAACCATCAAGTTGTTATTTTTTGCTAACAGATTGCAACAGAGAGATAACCTGAGCTAATTGACCTTTAGCAAACCTTGACGGAATAAAAGTTTTGCATTTAATGCTGATAATCTTTTTTTTTAATTTTTTTTAATTTTTTATTTATTTATGATAGTCACACAGTGAGAGAGAGAGAGAGGCAGAGACACAGGCAGAGGGAGAAGCAGGTTCCATGCACCGGGAGCCTGACGTGGGATTCGATCCTGGGTCTCCAGGATCGCGCCCCGGGCCAAAGGCAAGCGCCAAACCGCTGCGCCACCCAGGGATCCCCTAATGCTGATAATCTTCAAAGATACATCTATCATAATTAAACCAACAAAGTTAAATTAGCTTAAATACTGAATATGTTTCACCTGGGTCCACTTTTAAAAGTTTGTGTGTTCCCCATTTGTTTATTTTTATCTCTGTGCCGACACTAGTGGGGAAATCTGAAATGAGTGGTGTGTATGCAGGCAGCACCCACAGTGGTGCAGAAACAGGAGCAGAGGGAGGGGAGACAGAAGAGGCAAAGTACAGCCAGAGGCTGAGAAAACAGGGTTCCCAGTTTTAAAGCTCATCCACTTGGAGAGCTGAGCAAACGCCATGTTCTTCCACCAACAGGTGGAATGAGGCCGTCCATGTCAGGCCAGAGAAGACAGGGAATTTCCTCCAAACAGAGTTTCAGCAGCTGCTTGGGAATTTTCCTTAAAATCTCCATCCTCAGGTAGACTGACCACAATTGGCTCCAGTTATAACCATTAACCTGGGAAATGAATGAGGGAGAAGCCCTCAACATCTATTAGGAGGAACAGTGAGAGAGAGATGAGAGAGAGAGAGAGAGAGATAGATAGATAGATAGATAGATAGATAGATGTAAGTAGTATAAGCCAGCTGGGAATTCCCCATCAGTATACAAGTTGATTTTTATATTGACCATTGTACTCTGAGATTTTTCTAAATTCACTAATTCTAGTTGCTTTTATATAGATTTTGTTTTTTTTAATTTTTTATTTTTTTTAATTTTTTTTTAATTTTTATTTATGATAGTCACACACACAGAGAGAGAGAGAGAGGCAGAGACACAGGCAGAGGGAGAAGCAGGCTCCATGCACCGGGAGCCCGACGTGGGACTCGATCCCGGGTCTCCAGGATCGTGCCCCGGGCCAAAGGCAGGCGCCAAACCGCCGCGCCACCCAGGGATCCCTTTTTAGATTTTAATAGATTCTTTGGAATATTTTCATTTGAATATTCAAATGAATAGTTTCATTTCTCTGTATAGAGAAGAATTTTATTCGTGCAGTTCTTTTATTACCTTGTCTTGCCTTATATCCTTGTCTGTTTCCTGGTCTTATAGGAAGAACATTTAGTCTTTCACCATTACACATAAATGTGAGCCATAGGTTGTTATTTTTTAAAAGAGAGCACATGTAGATGTATGCACACTACTGGGGGTGGGCAAGGGAGAAGGAGATAATCTTTTTTTTTTAAAGATTTTATTTATTCATGAGAGACACACACAGAGAGGCAGAGACATAGGCAGAGGGAGAAGCAGGCTCCCCTGCAGGGAACCCAATGCGGGACTCGATCCCAGGACCCCAGGATCATACCCTGAATCAAAGGCAGACACTCAACAGCTGAGCCACCCAGGTGTCCCTAGAAGGAGAGAATCTTGATCTTACCACTCCAAGATTATGACCTGAGCCGAAATCAAGAGTCCGACATTTAACCGACTGACCCACCTGGGCGCCCTGTTAGCCATAGGTTTTTTGTAGATGCCCTTTATAGTCTTGAAGAAGTTCCTTTCAAAAAAAAGAGTTCCTTTCCATTCCTAGTTTGCTAAGATTTTTTATTCATTGTGGATGGATATTTTGAATGTTGTCAGATGTTTTTGTGGTATTTAATAAGAAATTATATTTGATGTTTTTTCTTTATTTGTTGATTTGCAGATCAATTAGGTGATTTTTGAATGTCATACCAACCTTGCAATTTCAGGGAGAAAACTATTTGGTCATGATGTATAATC